AGTTCATTTTTCACTTAGGGACGAGTATAAATTATAAACCTTGAATTTAAAATTTAATGTTTTAAATTTCCACGTCACACCGGATTTATGAATTCAAAATCATTACATTAGATGTGATCGGCAATCTCCCAACCTAACCCCACCATCTCCCTCTTTGATTAACTTATAATCTAAGTGTCACCTTCCTTCTTTCACCATAATTGAAACTCTAATTTTTCGTTAAAAATAAATAATAAAAAATAATAATTTTGGCCTAGAAAGTTTCGTTATTATTTGGTAGAAGCTGCTCGGATGAGAGGGACAACCACTTTTGATAACAAAATTTAAATCATTTAAAAAATTTGAGTATATGTTCGATAATTTTATAATATATCGTTTTTTTTTATTGCAAGAATTTGAAATTTTTAGTTTAGTAATTATAAATATGTTTAAATGATAAAAAAATTTAATACGTTAAAATTTGAAATTAAAAAATAATCAATTTATTTGTTAAATAAATGGAAAAGTTTTTATATATATATATATATATATATATATATATATATATATAATATATGTTATTAAATAGTGTTTTTTTGGATGGATGGAATTAAAAAAAAAGAAAAAAAAAATAAGGAGAGAACTTTTCAAATAATAGTAGAAAGGAAATTTCTTTTCAAACACATTCACGCGGGGGCGCGTGGGTATCTCTAACGGCGTACATTAGAAGGGCATTGACGGACCAATCAGCATAAATCTTGAATTTGACGCTAGCGCACGTTAGCGTCATCGACCTCTTTTCTATTCTTTTTTTTTTTTTTTTTAACTTTCTCAACAATAACATTAATAGGTACCGCCATTTCTGAGAGTCTTGTTGGTTTTACTCTGTTAGCGCCAATGACGAGCTCAAGTCCGTGGCACGGCGGTGAGCGGCGGTATTCTAGCTCCAGCGGGGAGCGGCGGTATTCTAGCTCCAGCGGTGAGCGGCGGAATTCTAGCTCTGTCAGTGAGAGGCGGAACTCCAGCTCCCGTTGTAGTGGATCGCCTTATCTTTCTTACTTGCCCAGTCCCGATGTGTCCGCTGGTATGGAATCCCGTTCCCGACTTAATCCGGTGAAAGCCGCTGCACGGTCCGTCGCCGGAGCTTTCATTACTTGCTTTACACCGCCGGAGAAGGAAACTTCGCCGGGTTTTGGTATTGGTAGCGAATTTCGTCATTCTTCAGGTAATACTTGATTTTAAGCTTGGGGAATGAGAAAGACTTGGATCACCTGTCTTAGCTTTTGGTTTATCTTTTAAGAAACTGGTAGTGAAGATGAATGAATAGGTCTCGTTGCGGCGTCTTTTCAGAGCTGTTAACCTACTGTTTAATGTTATCTCTTTTCTGTTGGTTTTTGGATCGTGGATGTTCGTCTGAAATTTTGGTGAAGATTTTAGTCTTGCTTGTTTTCTACACTATCTCAACTTGGAAATTCCCTGTTCTTGATAATTGCAAAAACATATTCTCCAAGACTCGCTTATCTGTTTCTAATCGTAGATTGTCTGAGATAGAGGCTTTCTTAACCTTGTGATACATTGAGATTTGAAACTCTTTGTCTTTTGCGCATTAAATTCTATCATTTATTTGTTAGATAACTAGAGGAAGATAGGAACAAGTGGATTTTCCGAATCATTTATGAAGTTCCTGAAATTGAGTCAGTTAAGAAACTGCAATTACCAATTTCAGTCTTCGTGGGCTGTCTGGTTCAAATTGTTCTCTCTTTCAAAGGGAAAATAAGCAGTAAACCACTTATTCCGATTGTGATCTTAGGATGAATTTGTGTGTTTTATATCTCTGTAATTCAGATGCTTCCAGTCATAATAGCAAAAGAAATCAAGGATCTAGGCGAGAAACCCACTTCAGTTCAAATCTAGCTGCCCATGATCGAGAGCCTGGATCTTTAAGGATCAGCATAGAAGAAATCCGCAAGGCTACGAAGAACTTCTCCGCATCTTCAAAAATTGGCCAAGGGGGTTTTGGGGCTGTCTACAAGGGGAAACTTGATGGAGTTCTTGTGGCAATAAAACGTGCCAAGAAGGTTAAATTTGATTCTTAAGCAGTTTATGGCTTATTGCTTTCAATCACCATCTCTGTTCATTGTTGTTAACGTGGATTCATTTTTTTTTTCTTTCATAACCTCTTTCTCTGCAGAGTGTATATGATAATAATTTGGGCGTGGAGTTTCAAAGCGAGATCCAAACACTTGCACAAGTAGAACATTTAAATCTGGTTAAGTTCTATGGATATCTGGAACATGAAGATGAAAGAATCGTCATTGTTGAGTATGTGCCGAATGGGACACTCAGAGAGCACTTAGAATGTGAGTTACTTTGTTTCAGCTTTATCCTCTCTTTAAACTACACAGTTTAGTACTCTTATCTGAATCACCAAACTTGATGGCAGGCATCCATGGCACTACTCTTGACCTTGCTACAAGGCTCGCCATTGCAACCGATGTGGCTCATGCAATAACGTATCTTCATATGTATACAGGTATGGATTTGATTTGGTGCTCAACTCATCTTAACTATATAGAACCTAGTGCGCGTCTGGAATGACTTTTGGGAGGCTGAAAAGTGTTTCTATGGGCCAATGGCACTTTTAAAACAAAACATGTACAGTTCTTTATGGAAAGATGCTCAATTAATGATTCTTCCAAACTTGTTTATTGAAGAACACATTCTAAACTCAAATCTTAATGTATCTTCGTTGAAATCTAGAGTCGTTATAGCTGTTGATTTTATTAGATCATACATCTTCTGTTGATTTTATTAGATCATACATCTTCTGGTTCTTGTTGGCCTGACTATACTTGCTGTGTGTAGATCGTCCCATCATTCATAGAGACATAAAGTCTTCCAACATTCTCTTGACCGAGAATTATAGAGCCAAAGTTGCGGACTTTGGCTTTGCAAGACTTGCAGCAGACGGCGATGCGACCCATGTGTCCACTCAAGTCAAAGGAACTGCTGGCTACTTAGACCCAGAATATCTCAAAACTTACCAACTGACTGAAAAGAGTGATATCTATTCATTTGGTGTTTTGTTGGTTGAATTAGTCACAGGCAGGCGCCCCATAGAACCCAAACGAGAACTTGACCAGCGGATCACTCCAAAATGGGTGAGCCTTTTTCTCTCTTCGCTTCACTACTAGTTTAGGATTATATATCATAACCGTAGAGAATACGTTGAGGATTGTTGAGAGGGAGTTCCAAATTGGTTAATTAAGGAAATGATCATGAGTTTATAAGTAAGGAATATTATCTCTATTGATACGAGATTTTTTGGGGAAACCAAAAAGAGCCACGAGAGCTTATGCTCAAAGTGAACAATATTATACCATTGTATAGGTTGGTGGATCTTAACCGAATATAGTCCATAGTAGTTACATAAATGACACTATCTCTATTGGTACGTAGTTTTTAGTAGAATCTAAAAAATAGCTCATGTGAATACAAATTCAATCTAAATAAGATCGTACCATGGTGAGAAACTAATTATCATTTGTTCTTCACACACTGCTCTGCGTTGACATAAATGTAGGCCATGAAGAAGTTTTGTGAAGGAGAGGCCAGCACACTTTTGGACCCAAATCTAGAGCAAACAACTGCAAATCATTCAGCAGCGGAAAAGATTCTGGAGTTGGCCTTACAATGCTTGGCTCCCCGGAGGCATAGTCGGCCGAGCATGAGGAGATGTGCAGAGATACTCTGGAGCATACGCAAGGACCACAGAGATCTGACAGCTCCTGATCTCCGTTCATTCTCTACAAACTCACAAAGGAGTGCCTCGGTAAGAGAAAAATGAAACTCAAATCTTGGTTCATAATCGTGATAAATTTGGAATTCTCGATCCTATGAAGAACAAAGCTCTCTTAGAATCTCTATTCCACGAAGCAAGCAGATTCCCAGAACGTATGTTTCTCTTCTTATGTTCATTGGTGAGATTATATTCGTTTGGCTTGTGTGCTAGCTGCATTCTTTAGCTTCATTTAGGCTGCTAATAATACTCTCTTTTGCTTGTAAAGTTGTGTATTTAGCTACCTCAAGGATGATTGATTGGTTTCTGTTGTGACTTTGTTCATCATTTGTGACTGAATAGTTAATAAATTGATTAGGAAATGGAGAAACTTCTGCCCAATCTCTTGTTCAGAACTAGGAAGTCGTACCGATGTTAGTTATTTCTCTTGCAGCTTTTGTTACTGTCGCTACCGGCACAAAGTTAGCCGATACTTTTTCACTAGATACAATCATTACTTCTACGAGAAAAGAATTTTACGATCCGAGGTCTTCTACACCACACGACATTGCTCTGTCAGATTTTTGTCCATTTAGACTCGAGACACGAGTATCTCCCACATGCCTAGTGAAATTTCGTTTATCATAAGTGAGACAAAAAAATATATTTTTTAAAATTATATATATATATTTAATTTAAAGGTTTAAAATCAGACCAAATTTAATTGAGAATTTGTGGCCCAATTTTAATTTTTATACTCTTCAAATGTATTATTGGAAGAGTTTCAATTATTTTCTATATTTAATGTTTAAAATTTTAATTTCAATGACTTATTGTTAAAAATTTCATAAAAAATAACAATTTAGTAATTATAAAAGAGTATTTGTAATTATTTATTATTGTAATTTTAATTTTTTTGAACAATTTAACTTGTAATCCTTTAATTTTTAAGGATTTAATTATTATTGTAAAAAATTTCATCAAAATTAAATGTAAATTTATATTATTAAATTACGTAGAATTTGTGGCTTATAATCATAATAGGTTCGTAATTAGTTTAAAGTTTATTGATCTATTTATATTATAATTTTTATTAAATCTTAACACCACTAATATTCATGGTAGTAAATAAATGTTATAAATTTAAATTAAAACATTAAATTATAATATATTAAAATTTAGGACAAATAATAAAATTCAGAAACACAACTCACTGAATTGATTTTTCGCTTTTTTTTTTTTAATAAATAAAAATTGAAAACCCGCCGGAGCGCAGAGTCATTCTTCATTTGGCGCCATTTCGCTCCCTTTGGCTTTTCCAGTTCTCCCAAAATACGAGACGCACCCATTCTCTCCATTTCGCTATCTGCTTCGTTCTTCGTAAGTATTCGTTGAATTTCATATGGACTATTTCTTTTTCACAACTGGTTTTGCTGAATTCACTGTTCTTTTTCTTCTGTTGTTGGGAGGGGTTAATGTTTGAGCTAGGAAGCTTGCGATTGGCGGAGACGGGAAGGTGAGGGTGCGATCTTAGTTTTCTCTCAAATCTCTTGTAGTCGCGGGGGATGCTTTCCTGATGAATTTGAGTTTCTTGACTGAACTGTAATCTTCTCTGGTAATAGTTGGATTACTAACCTAGAAATCAGTCTGTTGTTTTTCCCTCCCACTCGTGACTTGTCTTTCGCATACCTGATTTTTGACTAAAATTATAGGTTTTTAAAGAATCCTCAAACCAAGAGTTTAGAATGAAATTCGTCTCTGTATTTGGAATAGAGGTTCTATCACAATGTTATTATGGATATATTAGTTATTAGTTAGGGAAGTTGTTAGGATATTTGGTTATAAATAGAGGAGTAAGGAAGGAAGAAATTAGACATTATTTTGGTTACTGAATTAGGGTTTGAGAGATTTGCAAGTACCTCGAATTACTTGTTTATCTTGTAAATTTCTTTACCTTTCATATTCCAATACATTGTGATTATGTTTTGGTTCCTATCATTCTGATCTCAGTTAAACTCTACAGTATCTAAGCCTGTAATTTGTGCTTATTTGAACATTGTTATTTGAGGTGAGGTCAGAGAGCGTTAGTATTGGGTTAGGAGGGCCCTTAATCCCTATCTTGTTGTCATCCCCATTGAGAAGCCATTGACCTTGCCACTTTTCATTTGTCTTCAATGTAGCGGCCATTTCATAGTCGCAGACACACCAAAAAGGGGGTAATAAGACCTGGAAAATTCCCAATTGTTGATTTAAGTTTGCCATTCTAAGTCACAACGAAACACCAATTGGCAGCAATTCTGATTGGACTTCTCATCTCAATTTGTTTAGGCATTGATAAGAAAACATTCTGGGAGTCATCAGAATAATTGAACAACATGGCATCAAGTTTGGGAGGGGCGTCGGTGTCGCAAACAGATGATTTTGAGACGTTCACTCCAACGACAGATGTTGAGCCTCTAAAGAGGGCCTGGCGTAATGAAAAAGCTGCTCCTGAGATTCTACCCTTTGAGGCATCTTTGGTTGGGAGAATCAAAGAGCAGATTCAATTAATGGTATTCCAGAATTCTGCCTTAATGCCTGTTCAGTTCCCAAGGAATTGTAGGGAAAGAAAATCAGTTGCAATATCACAACTGATGCAATCCCGATGTTGTTAATTATGGAATAATTGAATATCACCTCTGGAATTTTAGTAATTCAAGATTTCATTTACATAAAATCCAGTTTCTGAAATTGCAATTTTAGTTCATATATTTGATTCTCAAAATTTATTTTATAAATTTATAAAAAGAATTGGTAATTGTCCGATCAACGCCCTTTTGTTTCACATTCCACACACACACAAAATTATCATACAGATTTTCTTGGTAGCAAACTAAAAATACATATTGATACATTGTTCTTAAATTATAATAATTCTTCAATTGTGTGGTCCATTTACCTTATTCATAGATTACTGACATTGATACCATTCTCATCCGTTTTCAGGAAGATACTATAGAGGAATATTCAAGAAGTGGTATCGATCCCCTAATTGTATCACTCTATCAGATGGATTTAGATAGGACACAGTTCTTGTTAAGATCATATATTAGGATTCGCTTACAGAAGGTACAACCTAACTATGGTTTAGTTTTGTTCGGAGACAGTAGTTATGCTTTTGTTTCTCGTTTTTCCTTTTCTCCATTTTATATTTCGTGTAAGTTCATAATGATTTCATTGCGTTTGAAATCATATTTTTGTACATTCCACACAAGCATAGAGAACAGATCATGACCCAACTAGAAAATCGATTTAATTCTCCAACTCAAGTTCCATGTATGCTACTATTTCGCTTCCATAATTCTAAAACAATCTTTCTCCCCCAGATTGAGAAGTACATGCTCTATATCTTGAAGTCAGATGAACTTTTCAGACGTCTTTCTGAGGAAGAGATAACATTTACTGATAGGTGAATGCTATATCATATAGTTCATTTTCTAATGGTCTAGTTGTTTTCTTCTTCTTCTGACATTCATGTTGTGGCGCAGGTGTAGTCATGATATGAAAAAACATTTTGATGAGAGTGTTCTATCAAAATTGCCAAATAATTATCAGGACATTTTGAGGCAATCTATAATAAGTGAAGAGGATGACATGGGTACTCAAACACCTTCAAAATAAATTCTTTGATTGTTTACATAAATCACTGAATCACATGCTCTCTCACCTTTTTTTTTCTTTCTTTTTTTTTTTTGTGTGTGTTTTTTTAATGTTCACATTCATGTTATGTATTCCTCAATTTGTATCTGCAGATGGTAATGTATGTGGACATGGTGCAATTCCTTTAGTAAGATCAATCTATTGGATCTTGGTTCGTTAAAGAGCATTGATGAACTTCTTTGATTAAATAGTTCATAATGGAATTGCAATAATTTTAAGAAGTTAAGGTTCCGAAAGATTTAGCTTCCTTTCAGTATTCCTATCATTGGTGCTTTTCAAAGAACTGCATAGGTGCTCGGAATTAGAACTTATTTGATACTTCCACGCGATGTTCTCTGACAATGTATTGGCACGAGAGTAACTTAAAGTCAATATGTAGAATAGTTCTGATCAATTCTCATGTAGGATTTTTATTTCCAATCTGCCGCCATATTTTTTTTCTCTCCCATGCTTCTTAGTTGGATGTCTCGTCAGATAGAGTGAATTTGTCCTGCCTTATAAACTGTCAGATTTTTTTTTTTTTTGGGTTTAAATACTCTTTGGTCCCTATATTTTTTGCCTTGATTCATTTTGTTTCTTGAACTTTTATCATTGGTTCATTTTGATTTCTATATTTTCAAAATGTCCATTTTGGTCCCCGTACTTTTAAAAACCTACCATTTTGGTCCATTCATTTTTCTTATATTGATTTGGCTTATTTCTGCATCATATTCCTTTGGAAGTTATCAGCACGTGTGAAATTTTATTGATGTAAATTTGATTAATTACATGTTATTTGAATGTTCATGATTTTGGTTTTGTCTGATTCAGTTCCAGAACCTCCACTGGACACGTTTGTGGTCTGCAAAAGTAAGGAATATCTTGAACATATACAGCTTGAGGATGAGGAAGAGAGGGCATCTAGTAGAGTGTAACTTTTCTTTTCCCTCTTTTGTATCATTTTACTCCTTTTGTAGTTTTTTTTTTTTTTTTTTTTTTTTTTTTTTTTTTTTTTTTTTTTTTTTTTTT